GAAAACATTCTGCAGTGAGAAGAGTGCAACTGCGGGTCTTTAGTGGAATGACCCGTAGTTAACGAATCTAGATTAACTCGGTCAATGAGTTTGACCGATTAATCTTGCATCGTTGGAGCTTCGGATCTGTAGGTCCATTAGGTCCCCTTGCTAGCTCATAACGAGTAAAACGATGATCAATGTTTTGGAAGAATTTGAATTGTTCAAATTACTTAAAGGATTATATGTATATTGATACATTATAATATATAGTTAATTGTAAATTAAAACTATATATTATGAGAGATATTATTTGAATGAGATTCAAATAAAATTAATATGAATAAGATTTATATTAAAACTATAGGTTAAAAATAATGAGCATAAGATGTACATTAAAACTATAGGTTATACGAGAGAAATGTTTTAGAATATGATTCTAATTTTATAAATAATTAAGTGTTAATTATTAATGTATATATATATTTATTAATTATTAATTGGATTAATAATTAATTATATTTATTAATTAATTAATTTGATTAATTAATTATATATATATTAATTATGATATATATATATATTATATATTATTATTTATTAATAATAATAATATTATTATTATTATTAAACTCCCCTGCAAAATTGCAGGGGAGTGAGAGGTTTTGTGACGTGGGGAGTTACCCCACGTCACCCTTCTTCTTCCTCTCCAAGTGTTGGAGAATGGGTGAGGAAGGGTTACAGAACAGAACAGGGAAAGGAAAACTCCCACAATTTCTCTAAAAAAAAATTCTCTCAATCTCTCCTTCTCATGCCAAAGGATTGCTCCCACCAACACGATCCCGAGACCCAAGAGGATAGCGAGGAAGACATAGTGGTGGTGTTCGAGGGAAACTCGTTGAAGAAACGTTCTTCAAAGGTAAAGTTTCCTCTGTATTTTCCTTATTTCAATTTCGGTTTTGTATCCCGAAAATCAGCAACGAAGATCCGCTTCCGCTTCGGGATTCTCATCCCTTCATGTACTAGGTATATATTTGATATACCCCTGATATACGGGGTATATATTTGATATACCCTAATATATAAGTGGATAATGTCCCGTGAATAACCTAAAGGGTCTATAGTATATGGATAAGGCTGGGTACCTTATCCTGGCAACACTATGGATACGGCCCACTCTTTAAAGGTTACAGACGACTCGATCCAGGTCGTTCGTGTAGAGACATGCGAGTGGAGGTATCCTGTACAATGAGTTTATATAAGACCGGACCACGAAATAGACAATCTTTAGGTGTAACACCGTTAACTAATAGATTGTTATTTCTTAGGATGACCAGACAACTCATTCTCAATCCTGAGTGAGTTATGGACTCCTGCCCGTGAGGGCTCGTCCTTTGATCTGTATGGCTGAGAGTGGCTCGAGCGCGCTCTGCCGGTAAGCGCGATCTGGAAGGCGTGGCATTTGATGACATCTGTAGCCGCTTGAAAATCCATGAGGCCTTCAAAAACCTCAACATAGTCTTTTGGGTCTTTAGACCCATCATACGATTTCATAGTGGAAGTTTTGAACTTTGGAGGGATGGGAGCCTCCAGGATGTCTGAGGTGAATGGCGATTCTCCCAAGTCGCCATCATCAAATGCACTCTCCTTCTTTCCCGCACCTTGCTTTCAAGGCTTCAACTTGAGCATCGAATTTGCTCTTGAGCTGGTCGAACTCCTCTCTCGTGATCACTCTTTCGGGAGCTATCGGGTTATAAGAGGACTCGGCCTGCTGGTTGGAGCTCTTGTGCGAGTAAGTCGGG